CTCTGACGAAGAAATCTATTGAAGCGAGCTCAATTATCTGCTTGAATTGTTTTCCCGTAATGGTAATCCCAGAGACTTTGTACGCTGATGCATGAGACAACAACAATCCAACAAAAAGGAACCAAATAGTTCCACTCAGGTGCCCAAGACAAACACATGGCGAATCCTTCCTTATATAGGGAACGTGTCTTAATTTCTTGAAAGACACTTGAGGAAATACCAAATAAAAGTGGCGCACAAACCGATGGCTACTTTACGCACCCAGTTAGTACACCCTAAGGATAGGGTTGGCTACCTAAGAAAGAAGCCATCTACAAATCCCATTGGAAAGCTTGTGATAAAGTATATTGTGGCCAAACAGGAAGATCCGTCTCCCAACGCATCCACGAGCACCAATTAGCAGTGAAGAGACGTGACCATTTATCCAAAGTGGCTATGCATTGCCTTGACGCAGGACATACCTTTGCATCGCATCATCGTCGGAGTTTTCTCCTCCAAAAAAGGCCGATAATTTCTTGAGGCTATGCACTCCGATGATTCATGCGTCAAAAGGCTTATCGAGTTGGCTGGAATTTACAAACACCTCAAAGAAAGGTGGAAGAGAATGTAGTCGACAACTATGATCAACATGAACCGCAATTAGCGCCCACACCGGAAGACCTGGACTGACCCCGGACCGACTAAAATTACAGTTGCCAATTGGCCATTACGCTATTTCGACTGCTAATTACGTCCACCATGATGGGACGCAAATTGCAACTCCCAATTAGCCCCCACACTAGATGACTATATAACTGTATCAGCACTTTGAGATATTAACTGTTCTTCGCACATTTTTCTCAAGGCTGATAACGACCTGGGGATCCAGTGTAGAAAATTTCTGAATAAATTTACTCATTTTCGCAAAGGACACCTTTCCTTGAAATTACATTCCTTGGAATGCCTGCCTTCGAGTTTATAGGCTATATCCATTGCAAAATTTTGTGAGTAAGCTACGATCTTTTCTGAATGACATAGAGGAATAGATAATTTGCCTAACGTGGAAAAATCACGACTTTTAGACCATAAATCTTATACGCAAATATAACTGCAAATAATACTAAAATTATGCTCGAATTTGAAAGCCCTTTTTAGTAAAAATCGAAAGGCACCCCTACATGCTCACAAAAGGAATATTTTTTATAATGATTTTTATAAAATATTGACTTGGATTTATAAGGGCATTAACAACTAGTAGGAACAATCTGTACTACTTAAGCTGTAATTTTTGCAAAGTGTCGTTTCTACAGCCGACATAAAAGAAATGCATTCAAAATCCGGCGTCCCGAGGCGTCTAAAATATCTTGGGAATATGCTGCATAGGGTTCGCTATTAAAAGCCCATCCAAGTAGTCCTTACTGATCCAAAATACATTTCAAAATTTCATTTAGTGCTTAATGAGATCGGCCATGGGCTGTAGGCCCCTAAGATTGTGATGACCCAACCCTCAGTGCACGCACACTCGCGACTGCTAGCAAGTGCGCAAGCACCAGTGCCTGCCTGCACCAGTCCGGTCTGGCCAATCACCTCCTTGTGCCTGACTCACACAGGACCTCACTGCGATGACTGCCACGTTCACACACTTCGGATACCGGCCCCCTTCGCGGGTGGTTGTACACTCGTCCGACTGTCGACCTCCTCCAACCTATTCTCCACTACCTCTGTCCAGAATACACTATTCCTCCAATTTGGCATCTCGATTCTTCTCGTCCCACACAAAACCGAGCCCGAAGATGACAACGGTAAAGATTTTTACCTATTAACTTGTGCCCTTGTGATAAGACTTCCAGACTGTCTTGTCCATCAAATATCTAGGAATTTGAGGAAGTGCTTACCCCGAATTTGCTTGCTATCACATGGAAATAAGGTGGAATTACAATTTTTGGATTTGTTGTCGTAATCAACCAACTATACTCCAATCACAGGACGCACAGATCTAACGTTGAAATTGGAAACAGTTGGTCAACGAGTACTGGGATCGAAAGCTCTTGAACAATGACCTGACGACTTATTGGCCGACACTGATGATACTCAAAGCCACACACACAGACATGATTTCTACCGATCTCAGATAGCGGATTGTCTTTCAAACACAGGATAAATGCGAATCTAACTCGAATCCAGCCGCGGGGCGGGTTTTATTGATGTGACCGTACAGTCGTTAATCTCTCCTCTCTTTTAGTAGGCCTTCCGTCATCACTTAAGTGTTATTCAACCAGATCTGCCTGCCACATCAAAGTGACATCCATACCGTTCTCATATCGATCAGGCAGCAGCGGGAAATTGGGGTGGTCAGGAAAGGGGAAAATCTTAAGTACGACACGATCGCTCAATTGGGAGTTCTTCGCAAATTCTGTCTAATTTTGTCGCGCCGTGCAGATTTTCCGAGTGTGAAAGGCCCGAGCGCTCGAAAAAACCACCAGTTTGTACGACACAGAATGAAATTCACACACAATTCATGTAACTTCTGTAATATTTGCAACAGTACCTATCAGAAGCGTTGCTATGCTGCCATTCTGAATGCCAAGCCGTTTGAGTTGGGACAGGCTTAAAATCCGTTTCCGTTGCTCATATATTGTTGTACATAATAAACGCTACTTTACTAGTTTAAGTAGATGGAAAAACATGAACAATATCCTAGCTCATTGAGAACGGTGACAAAGCATTTGGGAATTAAAAATAGATAGAGTATGGGAGCAAAAGATACAAAAAGATATAAATCGTTTACACGCGAAAGTGTTGAGAATAAGGATACACCGAGTTAGAGTTTTCATCAAGATCCTCGCCCAAGTCTTCGTGAATTTCATCGGGAGCCGCGGTATCCGGACTCACTGGAGGTCGTAACGGTACACTAGCGGTATCCCCAGCTCGGGAGTACTTTTTTTGAGAGAGCTTTTGAATTTCATCATTTTCATTGTCATCATCGGCCTCATCAAGGTCCCGTTCATCAAGGAAACTCTTTGACGATTTCTTCGCATTTATTTTCAAATAGAACACCACGAATGTGAAAAAGGCGGAGATTGTGAACATCACGGAGATAAGTGCCATTGCATAGGCCCACGACAGTTTGTTAAAACGTGGATAAGGTACCCACCGACTGTCGAAACTTCCGAAGGTAAAGCCGATAATGGTTATCACCAATGCAAACCCTGTCAAGTAAGATGTAATAGGACATGCGATCAGAAGTTATAATCTCAAAACGAGTTCTCTACAGGTAGTCCATTATAATCCATCAACTGTCTTGGCCTTTAAGGCATACTCTTCAGCATTTGAAGTAGTATAAAACGAAAAAATATAGCACGCATACAGAGTATAATGAAAAGTTGAGTAAATGATTCATTGTCAGCATAAAATATACAGTTAAGTAAAATTGTTTCATAAAAGATAAGGAAAATCGACGGTGCTTTTGTAAACTATTTTATATCAAATGCTGGTAGATATCTGAAACCAATGAGTATATTCAAGCGCGGCTTCAAGACTTTCTTGTCGTTAGATGGATCTCTTGTATGATGAATTTGAATTGATACTACTAAGGCAGCCATCATCCAACCAAATTAACGAAATGATGCTGCGACAACAGAATGTGCTGGTATTCGATGGCTATCCGTCGCGAGTAATGATTCGGTATATCGGGACATATTTGGCCATTATATGGTGGAATGTGGCTGAGAACGTAAAAAAATGGTTCCGGGCATCCAATTCAAGATGAACGAAGAGGACGATAGTTGGGAGTCATTCCTATAGATGTCAGTTTGCAGAAAAAAGGATTGGAAAGTTAAGGCAGCCGTTCATGTAAGGGCGACGAAGCCGAATTTTGGTTCAAACTTCAGCGGCAAACACCACACTTTGCACAAACGTGGCCGCATAAGAACAGTCAACCACATTGTGGCCAGTCGGACGACAAAAATACCAAATTACAACAAAAAGACGATTTTTTACTAATCAACACCTGCGCTAGAAGTTTCGTTAATGCCAAAGAAAAGTCAGTGAGCGAGATGTGAGGACAAAATCGGGGCACATTATGCTACCTTTTGCTAGTGTGTCTGAAGCAACGATTGGACAAAATCTCACGAATTCAAAGGACCCACTATCAGTGGGTCCAGTGTCTGAAGCTATTTACCGAGGTGCATTCAAATACAACAAAATATCTTCGTTTGTAGAACCGGTACACAAGACAAGAAGAGGATGCATAAACACGAACGTGCAGCCGGAGGAAAGAATGAACTGTCGATCGTGGTTTTGTGGCGCCATCTGGTCGTGCGAGTCTTGGCACTTTCTTCACGATAACTCGAAGCCAAGCAAAGTGCGTCATTTCACTGATTGGCTGCAGATGATAGAGGATTCACGGCTTACACTAACCCGACTGGCCTGAAGAGACAGCGAGTAACGACTAACCGCAGAACCCTTTGTAAGCTCATTCTCACGGTAAAAGCTTGTTCAAACTTATCAATCTTTCCTGACTTCCGATTTGGGAAATCTTCGTGTTGTTGACCCCACCACTTCGACGGCCTCCCCTCCATGTCCCTATTTGGATCTCGACCACGCAGCGGTTGTTAGCAAACTGAAATCGTAAACCGTAATCCACTCCTGTTGCGGAGAGCAAGGCAATGAAACCACGACTCAGTTGGGAGGCACACTGATATTCAGTCGCCTTATCATGCATTTTGCTTTTAAAAAACACTAGCACAGTAGAAAGGCACTCCCCATGGACGAATTTAAATTTTAACTGAATTATACGTTCTTTTTTACCT